ACCTCAGTTTTCACTGGGGTCATTGCTCATATTCAGCAGTTTCCCTTTTCCTTGGTCCAGTCTAAAAAAAAAAAAAAAGGACAATAACTGCTTCCCTACAAATGCCAGCACTTCAGAGATTAATAGCCATGATCTCCCACACTCAGCAGATGCCCTGGAGATGCACAGAGAGGACCAGAGGATCTTGCCCGCCTTGGTGCAAGATGAATGATATCCCCCGCGTTCAGTTTCCCTTCACACCTCCACGGTACCCTCACAGGAGTGGATGTGGGGACGGGCACTCTTTATGCGGTGGCACCTGTGAAAGTGTTAGGGATGCTCCCACGTCAGACCGGTGCTGTCTCAGGCACTTCTTGCCATCCTGCAGCCCCCAGAGTGGAGGAGAGCCCCTCCACCGCACTGTCCCTCTGCGCAGTGCTGGCTGGGCATGGTCCTCCAGGGTGCTGGGGCTGGGGACGGGTACCTGAGGGTGGAGGTGGCAGCATCTCCCCCGTGGAAAAGAAGCAGGAGTGTTTCTGTCCCTTGTGGTGTCCCTGCTGCAGGCTGGTGCCAAAGGGAGCCCTGGGCTCCTCCTTACTGCTGCAGGCTTGTGGAGCAAGGAGGCACCCCAGGGCTCCCACCAGGCCGTGCAGGGAGCTCCAAGAAAGAAACAAGCAAACAAAAAAATCACTTTATCACTCGAACCCTAATTTGTCATTGCACTGTTGTTCCAAACAAGCATAAACGAGCGATTAACGGGGAGCTGTGAGTCATGGGTGGCTCCCCCTCATGGTTTATAAAGCAAGAGAGGAAGAGAAATCAAGAGCCAGGAGGCTGCACTGCTGCTAGCACAGCTAGCCTGCCGACAGCTCCCTGACCCCTGCCAAGCGACTTTGAAGCAGGAGAATGAGGAAGCCAAAAGCCCCTAGAGGAAGGCAGAGGTGACCCACAGAAAGTGTCCTCGTCCCTCTTCCACAGGCTGGTGAGCTGCCCCAGCACAGCACGCTGCTGCAGCACTGCCGAGTGCCCACTGACGGCAAAGCCAGGCACACGCACAAAAATGCAGCAGAAAAAAGGGGACAAGCAGAATGAAGCCCCTCCAAGCAGGTGCTGCCAGATTGTCCGAAGGGTGCCTGGCGTGGCTCAGGCCACGGTGGGCTGCTCACCTGCAGCAGGGGCTGGTGCTACTAGCAGCCATAGGAAGAGGAATGCTTCCGTGCTGTCTGCATGATGCTTCTGCTGCTCCACAGCCCTCCCCGCAGTGACATACCAGACAAATACTGTTGCTTATCAGTTCTCTGCAAGAAGACAATTTTACAGATTCCTCTCCCACCAAACACTCTGTTGAAGACTGTCACTTCTGCGTGCTTGCCAAGGGCCTGATCTGCCCAGCTGTTTAATATCAGAGTGCTTCGTGCTTTCCAGCTTGTGATAAGCATCTGGGCAAGCAGGGTTAAAGCCAGCATCCCAGCTAGTCACAGTCCCGAGCAAGGTCTTGCCTGCCTGAAAGCCTGGCTGTTTTTTCCAATTATGTCAGCTGGGCTAATAAAAGTGATTACCTCTTTCTACCAACCCTACCTTTCTCATTGATCCCACAGGCCGTTCTTCAAATGTCACCCAGCAAGGAGAGAGCATACATCCAATTATAAAAAAAGATTAGCGTGATGACAAAGCAGCGGGGTCAGTGGTGCAGATGTGCTGCATGAAACAAATGAGACATGCCTAGTTTTGACACCCTCCAAGCCCAAGGAACCCAGAAGGGGGCATTTTGGGGTGGGCTGGGGCTCTCCCCAGCACTTTAGGCAGCATAAGAAGTGCAAACTTAACTGTCTTCCTAACTGCTCCTCTGAGGTTTGGTATTATATTTGTTCAAATAAGAAGCCTTGAACATGCTGAAAAGCTAATAACTACTCAAAAGCACAGATAAAGGCCTGCAAATCTCAAAGGCAACTCAGACTTTGGGTGACGAAATTTATTTTTATGTGGGGCAAATTCCTGCCTTTATTTTGAACCTGTGGTCACTAGTCCCACTTGGTGCGGGTCACGGCTGCAATAGCCAAGGGCAGAAATCAGCTCAAGCCATGGGCCCACCCCGACACACCTCGCATAGGTGAACAAAGATTGCCAACACAAGCAAGAGCTGCAGAATCAAGGAAGAAAAATCAGCCTTTCTCTGCTTCCTCCACCATACCCTGTTAACTAAAGCAGAGGTTCAGGCTTCTCTGAACATAGTACAACAAAGACAAAATATTTAGATGTAAGCTGGGCTGGCTGATTTCTGCACCCTGGGCCAGAGAGACTTCCAGAGTCTTGAAGCAGGCTCTGGAAAGGGATGTAGGACTGTTACCAGGGACGTGCAGGACATACAGATGCCTTTGATAAAGCACTTGTATGAATCAGAGAACTTAGCTTTGACTCTTCCAGAGCTGGTGTTTCCCACCGAGTCCCCAAACCTGCTCTCCTCCTTTCAAGACTGAGTGCTTCATGCAAGGATGAACATTTGTATGTCTATTAGGATAGGGGACCTAGTGCTTTTTTAACGCTTCGATTTGGTGTCAGAGTATTCCCAGATGTTAGCCTAACCCACAGGAAACAGCACAGCAAACTTGCCAGGTTATTACCAGAAACTTACTTTGACCACATTCTAGACCTTTTTGATCAGCTCTTAAAAGGGGAACAGGGAGCTGGGACAACGTGTTGTTTCCACACCTCCTGCTTTTCCTTCCCTGTTCTGCTCTGCTCTCCCACTATTGCATCTCATCTGTACCTCTGCTTTTCCAGCAGTTTCTTGCCATGCTTCCTCTGCAAGGTGCGTGCTGCTGGTCCCCGGGCAGAGAGGGTGTGGGCGGCCCTGTGTGCATGGGAGCCGGGGAACGGATATTGCATCCAGCAAGTGCTAACTGAGCCTGCGTCTGTGTACGGACCAGATCCTCAGCCGGTGTGAAGTCTGTGAAAGCCAGTGGGGTGCTACAGACTCACACCGGCTGGTTACAGTTGTACGTCTTAGCACCCGTGTGAAACGTACGGCCCCATTTATCTCAACGGTGTGCAGTGGAAACTCTGGGTAATTAGCTAAGGTCATTAGCACTGCACACGTGGTTCCTCCAAATGCCCCTGCTTTCCAAAGGCTGCGTGTGTCTGCAGTGGGAAGGGGTGCCCTGTGGATCTTCTGTTCGCGTCTCTTCATTTTTAAAACCTCTGAAGTGCGCGGATGCAGAAGTGGAGTGTGAAAACAGCGTGGGGAAGCCACTAATTGAGAAAGATCCCCGCCTAGAGAGAAACTTCATACCACTGAAACTGCATTTCATTTTATTTCCTGATTCCAGCATGTCATTTGCCCCTCTGTTTTAAACCACAAAGCTTCCTCTACGTACACCTGGCTCTTCACTATAAATAGCCCGGGCGCAGCCGGGGCGCGACATGGACGCCTAGTGGGCCGCGGCGCGGGGCCGGCGGGGCGAAGGCTGATCCCCACCGCAGCCCAGCCATGGCAGCTGGTGCCTGGCCCTCGGCACCGCAGCACAGCTTTGCCATCCGGAAAAAACGAGGCAGAATCGTGAAGCCCCGTCAGACTCCAGCAGCTGATGTGTTTCAAACAAGATTTAACAGTAGTAACTGTTCAATTGCTAACGCAGGCGGGAGTCCTCCACTGCCTCTGCTGCAGGAGGGCCATGGTGCAGCACCCAACGAGAGACTGGGCAAAAGCCACTCTTTCTATTCTCCCTTTCTGCGGCATAAGGCAATTTTAGAACCACAGCCTTCAGGCTTTGCTGTCACCTCCGCAAGCCCCCTGGGGCCTGCGGGCAGCGTGATGTCTCTCTGCAGGAGAGCAGCACAAGGCTGGGTGGTGTCAGTACAGAGCAATGGCCAGAAATGAAACTCCAGCAGCAGTGTTATCTCCCGTTAGGTTAAAAGGAAGTTTGCAGGATTCCTTAGTCCTTATTTAGCAAATTTGTTTGCTTTGGAGGGAAATACTTGTGATAGTGTCCGGGGCTAACCACATGCCTGGCTGCAGCATGGCAGTGTGCAGCAGTCGCACAGCCTCCCCATCTGGCTGGCGCTCCTGGGACAGCTGGGGGGTGTCTGTGCCCTTGACCAGCTCCAGGGTTTCTGGGGTTGGGCTGCGGCTCCAGCACTCGGACGCACCCCACCACCCTGGCTGCCTGGGTGCTCACCGGGGTGCTGGGCTGGGGGTGAAGCCGCAGCAACGGTGCTGGGCTGGGGGCCGGGAGGGACAGAGACCTGGGTGACATCCTGGCGCAAAGTGTCACCGGTGAGGATGGGGGGTCTCGGGAAAGCCAAACCCGTGTCCAGCCAGGGACAAAGTCTCTGTGAGCACCAGAGTCCTCGGGGTTTTCCTGGTGCCATGTGTCCTGGGGACACCCCCGGGCAGGGAGCACACAGAGTGCACGGGTGGGGTGGGAGGTGTGGGGAAACCCCAGAGTGCACGTGGGGTGCGGGGTTACACGTGGGGCAGGGCGTGCAGGGACACGTGTGGCACTCGTAGGTGGAAGGCCGGGGGACGTTGCAGGGCAGGCAGCGCGTGTAGGGTGGAAAGCACAGGGACACCCTGGGACACAGGAGC